ATTTTATTTATATATATATATATAAATATAGGTAAATAATGTCTGGCCGTCTGCTAGACATCTCAAATACTCCTGCCCATCTGACAAATTAGATCATCAATGCTCGCATCCATTCATGATTGCTGAACAAATGAACTCTAATCCAGCGGTCTGAAACCTGTAAAGTCCCTCCAGTTTGTCATGTATCCCTTCTGAAGTCCTACCCAAAAATCCGACTCTGCTCCATGGTCCACTCACATGAAGGTCCAGGGTTAAGAAAAATATGAAGGGCTAGAAATCCTAGAATTTAAATTAATCTAAGATCAGTTTTAAAACTGGGTAGACTGGGAGGGTTATGGTCTTGGAAACCAGAAGGGAATGTCTATACTCTAGGACGCATCCATGTTTTTCACCAGAAGAACCTAGAAAAATTGCGCCATAAGGCCCCTAGAATACACCTTGAGGGTTGGGGACAGGTGCTGTCAAGGGAGCCAGCCACAAAAGGATCAGGCTCCTAGTAACACATTGGGAACAGTTGATCCTGGCAGGGGCTACTTAACTGACTATACTTCCTGATTGATGAAGGGATAGGACTAACCTACCTGACCAAATGAAGCCAGAACTCCTGGGCTACTCAACACATCCTACTCAACAGCTACATTTAACTCTGCTTCCTATATAATGTGCCTACTGCTACATCCAATCTGCTCATGAGCCTGCTCCAGTTCTTGCTTCTGCCAGCCTGCTCCAGGTTCCTACTCTACTCTACTCTGTCCCTGACATTCCTTGCTCTCACCCTGGCTTCAGTTACCAATTGCATCTCTAGCTCACCCTTTGGTTTTGGTCTCAACTATGTACCTGGGAAACCATGGCCTGGATTCATGGCTCAGTAGGCATGACCATCCACATGCCAGTTGTGTTCCTGACAGAGGCACTCTTTGATCCTCATGCATATACTGGCTGTTCACTAAAACTGCAAGCTGTGGCTAAATGTTTGCTACAGACTTGGCTTAGTAAAGCCTGCAGACTTAGCAGTTCATACTCAATCTTTACTTCTTCTAATTACACAAAATGCAGGACATTTTTAGGATGGCTGTTGCTTCTGAAGACATTTATCATTTGTCAACAGTGCTTGAAACCAGAAACAGTTTGACAAAGTAGATTTTGTCTCACCTCACAGTCCATTTCATCCAGTGGCTCCACTTCTTCAGGCTCTACCACTCTCCAGCTGCAGGAAAGAACACTCAAAATCAGAATAATTCTGCACTCACTGCCACGTCACCCTCCTGGCCAAGACCTAAGGCCAAGACCTGGCCTCACAGTTACTTCCCCATAGCTGCTGGACACTAAACCAAAAGTGATTAAACTTTACTAGCAAAGCTTCCCAGGACAGACATACAAATAAAAGCACCATACCACTTACTTTGCAGAGCTCTTAGAAACCACAGATTTATATTTATCATGTATTTACCCACCAGCAATATGACAATAGAAGCCTAATAAAATTTAAATCTCACTGATCCCTGTTTTGACAGGCAATGAGGGAAGGCAAAAACAGTAGGACTCATGAAAGCAAATCACCACCAAGTGTGGAACTAATGACCATCTCATCAATTATGACCAATGACTTGCTCATTAACTTTTACATTAACAACTTGTCTGTATTTTTTCTACTTAGATTGCAAGGGGCAGGGATCTCTCATTACAGATTGGAAGTGCAGAGAACACCAATGCTCAATAAATACTAAAAATAATCAGCCCCAGAAAATAGGATGTGCAGAAAATGCATGAAGTATGCACAGCTCTTCCAGCAGTCTTCACTCCTGACTTCTAGCAGTATCTCTGGCATTTCAATCTCTCAGAAACTGGGAATTACTCTCTTGAAGCATTCACAGTTCAAAGCCCTTTGCCTCATCTGCCAATATCCCACCAACACGTGCCAACAACTGAAGAAACTAGTTTTCTTTGCTAATCTTTTGCATGTTTGGGAATTTTTCAGCCATAAACTGGGAAGCATTTCCCCAGAGAACACACGACTCATGTGTTAGCTGGTCAGTGTGCAACGCTGGCAGACAGCAAATGGTAGGAATGAATGGTCAGTTTTCATAATGGAGAGAAATAACAAGTGGTGTCCCCCAAGGCTCCGTCCTGGGACCAATGCTATTTAACCTACTTATAAAGGATCTGGTGACAGGGGTAAATAGTGAGGTGGCAAAATTTGCAGATGATACTAAACTGCTCAAGATAGGTAAGAGTTTCAAAAGGATCTCACAAAACTAGGTGCTTGGGCCACAAAATGACACATGAATTTTAATGTTGATAAATGCAAAGTGATGCACATTGGAAAAAATAATCCCAATTACACATACAAAATGATGGGGACTAATTTAGCTATACCCACTCAAAAGAGAGATCTTAGAGTCATTATGGATAGTTCTCTGAAAACATCCACTTGATGTACAGTGGCAGTCAAAATATTAGGAAAGTCTGCCGAATGTTAGGAATCATTAAAAAAGTGACAGAATATCTTATTGCCTCTATATAAATCCGTGGTATGACCACATCTTGAATACTGGGTTCAGATGCGGTCACCTCATCTCACAAAAGATCTATTGGCACTGGAAAAGGTTCAGAAAAGGGCAACAAAAATGATTAGGAGTTTGGAATGGGTCCCATATGAAGAGAGATTAAAAAGACTGACTTTTCAGCTTCAAAAAGAGGAGACTAAGGGGGGGATATGATAGAGAGCTATAAAATTATAACAGGTATGGAGAAAGTGAGTAAGGAAAAGTTATTTACTTGTTCCCATAACTAGGGGTCACTAAATGAAATTAATAGGTAGCAGGTTTAAAACAAACGAAAGGAGGTTTTTCTTCACTCAGTGCACAGTCAACCTATGGAACTCTTTGCCAGAGGATGTAGTGAAGACCAGGAGTTAACAGGGTTCAAAAAAGAACTAGATACATTTATGGAGGATAGGTCCATCCATACTTATTAGCCAGAATGGGTAGGAATGGTGTCCCTAACCTCCGTTCGTCAGGGGCTGGAAATGGATGACAGGACAGGGATTACTTGATCACCTGTTGTCCGGGGCATCTGGCATTGACCACTATTGGGAGACAGGATACTGGGCTAGATGGACCCTTGGTCTGACCCAGTATGGCTGTTTTTATGGCAGCAAGTGGTGGGAGAGGGTGGGAGTTGGTGCCCATGAGGAGCTGGCTTTAAGTAGGCTCCCCACAAGCACCAGATCTGCCTCTCCCTCCCCCCCCACAACACTGCTGCCTCTGATAAGAGAGGCAGCAGTGCTGGGGGGGAGGGGGCAGGCTGGAGCCGGTGCTGGGGGAGCTAACTTAAAAGCCAGTTCCTTTCAGCACCAGCTCTGTGATGCCCCCCCCCTGCTGCTCCCTCTATTGGAGGGGGATTGGGGAGTCTGCTGCAAAGCAGCCTGTTTGCAGTGGCCTGGGCTCACCACAGACAGAGGCTTGTCTGCAGCAGCAGTCCCTGTCTACGG